AGTCTTTTTCAAAATGGCGGCAGTTAAAATGGCGGCTTGGAGCGGGAAGTGGATATTTGGGCTACTTTTCGTTAGATTTGTATAAGACGAAACACGTGGTAACCGGGAGTGTTTCGGCACGAGAGGAACAAATCTTTCATTGGATTTTTAAAATGTCGAAAGACTTTAAAATGGCGGCGAAAAAATTCCGGGAAATCCATATCACGGCTGTTTACCGATGGATTTGCCCGAAAGTCGATACTCGAGGAGGTTTTTGACTCGAAAAAAATGAGTCTTTCATTAGATTTTTGAAATACATCAAAAATGGCGGCGGAAAAATCGGTGTTATGGCCGGTGATGTCGATTTCCCGGCATTTTTTCGCCGCCATTTTAAAGTTTTTCGAAATTTTAAAAATCCAATGAAAGATTCGTTCTTCTCGTAACGAAATACCCCCGGATACCAAGTCTAACACAAATCTAACGATAAGTAGCCTAAATATCCACTTCTCGCTCCAAGCCGCCATTTTAACCGCCGCCATTTGGAGAAGGACTGACTCTTCTGGAAAACTAATGCCAAAGTCGTTTTTCTCGTCCCGGAAAACGTGGGGATTCTGAGTTTCACACCAATCCGCTGATACAAAACGGAGATGCCTAATTTCCGCCATTTTGAACTTTGACTAACCGCCATTTTGTCAAAAATCAACATGTTGACATGCAATTTACGCCAAAAATTTTCCTTTTTTATTATGTTTCGAATGAGGAATCACAAAAGGGGGGTAGTCATTTGAAAAAAAAATTAGCCCCCACCCCCCTTAGGGGCGGGGCCGCCCCCCAAAATTTTGGGGGACCAGAAAGTTGCTACCTTAAACCGAGGAACATTACCAAAGTTTCAAACTTCTATCTCAATTAGGAAAGAAGTTACAGGGGTGGTAGGTGACTTTTGGATCAACCTGTAATAGCATATCGCCTGACAGCAGGGGCGGACTGGCCATGGGGGCGGGGAGGCGATCGCCTCCTAACAATTTGCCACGGAGGTCCTGAAGGGGCTCCCGCGGCGAATTTTTTTCGAGTTATGGTTTTACCTCTGTAATGTTGTAATTTTTTTATCCTATTCAGTCACTAAAAGGTCCCAAAATCCTTGAAAATTTGTCTCTAAGTGACATGAAAGGTCGTCTAAAGCTTTTGTGATGAAGGGGCCCCCGAAGAATCCTGAGAATGGGTTATTTTGAAGTTCAAATACTGTAGAATTTGACTCCAATAATGCATAAAATTGCGTTTAAAAAGTGTGTAATTTTCCACATTTTCCGGGGGAGGGCCCCCGGATCTCCTTAGAGGGGCCCCCGAACGACAGGAGGGGCCCCCAAAATCTAGGTCGCCTCCTAACTTTTCGACTTCCAGTCCGCCCCTGCCTGACAGTAGCTTTATCGCCATCGGCTAAGGCTGTAAGAAATTGTATAGCCGGCTAAAGAAGCCATAAGAAATCTTACAGCCGGCTGTAGGTCTGTTGTATTTTGAAACACAAATCCTACTGCAATTTTTATCAAGGTAGTCACTGTGTATTCCCGGAGGGTTCTATTGTCGTCTCCTTTTTAGTGGAGGTACCAAATACGTAAATAATTTTCGCCTCAATAATCAAATGGTTTTTTAAGGAATTTCGACTACTACTACCCAAGCAGTAGAGGTAAAAAAACTTGCAACAAAATCGTTTGATTCTGGCAAGTAATAGATCGACGTGCAGATTGTTTACTCTTTCCCCCGAAGGAGCTATTATTGTTGGAACTAGTTGCAATTAAGTTGGAACTTGTGTCGACTTCAAAGTGTTGCTGGTTGCCTCTCTTGCAATTTTATGGATGGCGAGAATATTGCAAATTGTTGGTACTTACAGAGTCGAAAAAAGTTCCAACTGCTTGCCAGTGCTACTGAGATTTATGGTAGGTAAAAACGTGAACTTTCAAGAATTCTACCAACGCTGGAAAATTTCGGAAAACTTGGCACGCCGTTGAAAATTCACATTTTTAAGCATTTTCGCAACGTTGGTATACTCAAGAATTTTCTGAGATTTGCCGCGTTGATGTATTTATCCAGACTTTTCGAGAATCTGGTAACATTGGTAAAAATCCACTCTTTTCGATATACGTACCTAATGGGCCTGTTGCACCATTTTTTTTTATTGTTTTAATCGAAAGAACTAAGGCTCCTGATGTCACAGGAATTTTCCCGGAGTTTTTTGATCACCGGAAACCTCCAAAAAATCAATTTAAAAACGCCTCAAAAGTTGGATTTTCAAAACGGTCACTCTTACGCGAACGGATCCGCCATACTTTGTGACGTGAAATGGTTCGACAGACCACTACACACACAACAACACTACATCACTTACAATGTATTTTCCCATAAGGAATTGGCAGCCGCTTTTCAAATGCAAATATCGAGTCAATGTATGATTTTTTTGAACAAAATGGAATTCAGAAATGGATTCCTCGTACGTTGAAATGGTTAAAACCTTCATTAGATAAAGAAGAACCGACGGGATAAACCCTATTTTTAGGGAAGACTGTAGTCAATGTGCGATTGTTTACATCTGCTTAGTGATAGGTAACAGACATGGACACTAGCTCAATATTTAGCAATTTTCATGAGTTTTTACTTTTTTGTCACTATTTGAAGGTAAGTTTCTTTTGTAAATCAATTGTTTAGTGCCTTAGGATCATGTTAAAAGCTGTAACGGTACACATTGTTACTTATTAATTCAGAACACACTCCGGCAGTCCAACGCCCAAGGAAGGTTTTAACCATTTCAACGCACGGGGAATCCATTTCTGAATTCCATTTTGTTCAAAAAATCATACATTGACTCAATATTTGCATTTGAAAAGCGGCTGCCAATTCCTTATGGGAAAATACATTGTAAGTGATGAAAAGACCAGGTCTGTCAAACCATTTCACGTCACAAGTATGGCGGATCCGTTACCGCGTAAAAGTGACCGTTTCGAATGGGTCGGTTCCAAAAACAGCTTTTTTTGAGTTTGAGAGGTCATTTCAAGTTTTTTTTAGTAGCGCCATCGTTCGTTTCGTGAAATTTGCCATAGGAATTAGGCCTTAATTTGCAAATCCCCGCACCTTGCAACAGGCCCATTTTGGCACCATTTGTAAAATTTTAAATTTCCGTCTTCCACAACGTTAGAAAAATTCATTGTTTCCGAGATTTCGGCCGAGTAGTTGCATGTCCCGACTTTTTGAGAATTTTGGCGTCGTCCGTAAAATTCGAAACTTTCACGTTTGAAAAACAACCCTTTTTGAGAATTTTGGCAAAGTTGCGGTAAAATTCGCGAAATTTGACATGTTGACGAAATTGTTTAACATTTCTAAACATCCTGACAACGTCAAAAAGTTGCAAGATTCGTGCAATACAATTGCTATAAGTTGCAACTTTTCTTCCGATCAGATCGCCGAAAATCGGCACTTATCGACCACAAGTTGACAGAGAGTTGCAACTTATTGGTTTCAACTTTTAACCAACATTGTTTCAACTTCTTGCGACTTTTAGGTACACTGAAAAATGCTCATAACAAGTCACTCTTATGGCGCTCCTATGCCCCCTGCGCAGTGCAGTTGCAGGAATTTCCTTACCTTAAATAAAAGAGATCGTTGTTCCTTTTAGTGTCAAACACAGTTTTAAATGAAAGCATTTAGATTATCGTGGTAAAGCGGGATTCCGAATCGGAGAAACTCCTTTAGGAAAGGCTTTTTGTAAGACCTACATGGTAAGCTCTGTAGCTGTAAATGGACTTGTGGCAAGTGACAAAGTCACACCATCACCCGTTGAAGTGTGATTTCCCGTTAACGGGAATTGGCAATAATAGCTAGTGTCGCCAGTTAAGTTTTTAGCGGTTTTAAATGTAAAGGTAGGTACAACTATGTGATTGAAGAAGAATACAATTTATTGTTGTTGAAGATCGTTTAAGCTTCGCGTCTAAGACAGAGAAACCCGGGATTTAACAGGGCATGAAAAATTTCAGGGAAAATCAAGGAATCTGCTCTAGAAACCGAGAATCTCTTCTTTTGCCGCCTAGAGACCATTTTTAAATTAGTCGGTCCACTCTAAGGCAACTAAATATAGGTACTTAGCTTTTGACTCGCTTATAGTGAGTTACTATACGGGCAATTTCTGCTTATATTTAAAATGCAGAACTTAAAAGTCACTAAACATGCTCATTTTTAGTTATTCAGGTGGTAAATTGTTGATGCTCTGGTGATGTTTTGTATCTTGTTGCGGGTTTGGGAACTCTCTTCCTTTGTTTGTACATGACTAGTAAAATTGTATTGTTACAACAATTGTTGTTATCAATACGATGGTTGTGTGGATCAACAACTTTGGGGTGCTCCTGGTCATACAGTAATGTAGATATGACCCTGGACTAATGTTTGCCCCTTACTCAACAATGTTGAGTTTCGATCTTTAATCTACAGCGGGAATTAGCGAACTTGGAGATTGGAGATATCGAACATACTTTGCTTTTATACTCGTTTCACTTTGAACTCATACCAGAGAAAGGATCCATAACGCTTAGAGGTACAAGTCAGCTATTTCTTCCCAGAAAAATTCTTATTTGTAAAATTTGTATAAAGCTGAGAGGATCTGAAAGCCAACATTGACCATTCAACTTGACCAAGTGAAGGGAATATTCCACCTTATCTTAATTGAAAATTTATTTTAGGATTTGCAGGACAGATTCTTCGGTAAGCAGCGATTGTGCCTCGGCGTACCTATAGTAGATCCATCGGGTGCCGAAATTGGAAACTGTAAGTACCTACTCGTGAGTAGTAATTTAGCAAAAAATTTTCAACACCTTCATTTTCTTCCTTCAGGTATAGATTCACCTTAAGCTGAGCACATTTTGCCTGACTTGAAACTTATGTATAAATGTAGGAGTGGGTAACTAAAATTCTGTAACCTTCTCGCTAACCAAACGACTTTTCAACGAACAGCCAAAATTACTAGCTCACAGCAGAACACTTACCTTTCGACATAAAAACTTGATCATCAGGACGTCAGTTTCTTACGATCAAGCACGGCAGTGCTAATGAACAAAACACACACACACACACACACCCTCCCTCACCCTCACATGTCTACATGAACAAAAGAAGAACAAAAAAGTCCAAGAATTGTCACTAAAAGATTGGACCGGCAGAAAGCCGTCACTAGAAGGGCGAAGAAACTATTTCAGCGAAACGTTCAAGCATCCTCCAGATAAGACCCACGAGGTGAGGTTAAATTTAGACATCCCTCCGCTCCTCGCTATCAACCACCTCCACAACAGGGGTTTAACAAGTCGTCAATCTCTCCACGGAGTTCCGAACTAATTTCATTTCACTCGCAAAGTATTATGATTTCTAGACGTTGCGCACAGTGTCATCTTTGCGCCCTTGGAAGGAGACACGAATAGACGACTCCTACTACCGCCACGGTCATTGCGATTTTCTCAATCTCCCACTTGTAGATGTATGACAAATATCACTTTATCGCCCTATCCCCTTACTTATTTCATGCGACGTGAACGTTGATATGTTGGTTAGTAGTGACGAAGTCGTTGCCCCAGCTGTGCCGGACAGTGTAAAAACAGGAGTAGGTAACATACAGGACTGTTTCTAACGTAAATTTCCTTCCTACGTAGGTACATACCTAGCTTTATAGAAAAGTCTCCTCCCTCCCTCCACTAACTTTTTCCGAGGTAAGGATACAGACATACATACATACATCAGAGTTTGGAAGGCAGACAGAACATTTAAGAAATCAGAGTATAATGGTCTAGCTTTGATAAAGCACCAACATATAAATGTACCTATAAAACAACAATAGAAATCTCCAAGAATTGGCAACAAGAGCGGGCAGTATACTGCCAACATGAGAAACCTCCAGCATCCAGATTTCCTCAACTTCCTTGTCTAGCACGTGAGGATCAAGTAAAGCTAACCAGGTTGTGAATTGGACACACATCCTTCACCCGATCAATACTTATTACAGAATGTGGGCCTCCAACTTGCCCCTCTTGTTATGTCCCCCCCCCCCTTCGACATATTTTAATATCTTGTCCTACCCACCGATTAAAAACTAAGATCCAACATTTTCCCTCCTCTTTCGGATCTCAAAACCGTACTTTCAAAATTTTCTCATCGAATCCCTCCATTTTTCAAAATACTTAAGGCACGGAACCTTAGGCGCATCTGTCCGCGGCGTCCTGGGCGCCGGCGGAAAACTCTGCTACCGAGTCGAAGGTGAAAGACGCTCACATTTTGGAGCACGGCATGTTGGGAGCGGAATTCGTGGATTTTTTCCGCTCTGTCCGCTGTCAATTTCTCGAATTTTCGTTGATCGGACAGTCGGTATACTTTGAGCCGCGAAAATGACTGGACGCGCTTTTTTTTTTTTTTAGGAGGGTGTGGATTCGATCGACAAGAATGGACCGAAAAATAAAAACGTAAATCGATCGACACCGATTTGATGGACAAATTATTAAAAAACCGGTGTCGATTCGATCGGAAAAAACGTGGATAGGTCGACGAGAAATAATTGACAATTAATTAAAAGAAAAAACCGGTATCAATTCAATCGAAAAATCAAAACGAGAACCGATCGACGTAATTCGATCAACTCACAGCTTGGTCGATCGATTCACGGGTTTGTCGATCAACTCACAGGTTTGTCTATAGACTCACAAGTTTGACGATCGATTCACGGCTTTTGTCGATCGATTCACGGGTGAGTCGATCGAATCACGGCTCTTGTCGATCGTTTCACGGGATTGTCGATCAATTCACGGCTTTAGTGATGAATTCGCGGGTTTGTCGAACGAAACACATTCGAAAATCGGTAGGAACAGCAGCGGACTGAGCAGAATTTGTCAGCGTCTCCGCTCCGATCTGTTGGCGACAGATCGGAGCGTCCTCCATCGGCGATCTCCGCAGCGTCTCTCCGCCGCTAAGGTGCCGTCCCCACGCAAAATCATCAGGCAGATTCATCGGCGTCTTTGCGCGGCGTCTCTAGACGCCGCGGACAAGCTCGCCTAAGGTTCTGTGCCTTCAATCTCCAACGTTAATCAATTTTTCCTTCGTCCTTCCTTTCAATTTTTTGTACTTCTCTTTTCTGATCTCTGCTCTAGGTGTTAGTGACCCAGCTTTGTTAAAGCACCTATAAATAAATGTATAAAACAGCAACATACATACAAACATAAAAGTATAAAAATGCAATACAAATAAATTAGTACATGCATAAAAGTCGCTGTCACAGCGCGCTCTGGCACTCTGCGACGCCTAATCGCTACAGTACCTGGTCACAGAGGGATGTGGTACTCCCTCATTTCATTTACAACCCCCTGTCACACCCCTCTCACAAGACGCCCCCTTCGTCTCCTCCCAGGAGGAACCCGATTGAGCGTCTTAGGTATTTGGCACCTCTCTTCCGTCATCCTGTTAACATTATCGTGCCAGACAAGCTGTTCGGTCATGACGTCGAATACGATGCCATTGTTGACTTCCATGATCTGACGCACCATATTATTACGGACCCGATCTCTCCTAGAAATTCCTGCCGACATCCTCCAGAGATCTACGTATCTCCGTTGCTCTTGGCATATCTTGTGTCCGCTTCTTTAGCTAAACGGCTTAGTCTCTTTGGTAGCTAGCTGCCAAACTTCACATCCGAACGTTAAAACACGTTTAATTGTGGCGTTGTAAATTCTTTTCTTGTTAAAGTAAACAGGATAAAAAGAGGTGTGTATATACGGCGGAAAGGATAGATTTGGTAAAACGGAAGTGAAGTATTCAAGAACGTGCAGTTTTGACAAAAATTGATGGGTTCCAAAACTTAAAAAAGAACGCGTGTTTAGTGTGGTTCAGGAAGTTCAGTCGATTTGCTCATTTTATCGACACCCGCTCATCCACCGTGGAAAGAGTATATTTTCCGCAGGATAAGAGGCAACTCAGGTGAAGTTCAAGTGTGGCATAATTGATGGTTAGGAATTTTTAAATAAAATCAGGATTTAAACGCATTTCGCCCGGCAAATTTCTTCCCGTCACCCATTGCGTGACAAGTCTGTCCAACAACTTTCTTTCGATAACCCGCTATGCAAAAGGGCATACAGGGTTATCCAAAAGTCACCTTCCACCCCTGTAACTTTTTCCCTAATTGAGATAGAAGTTTGAAACTTTGGCAATGTTCCTCGGTCTAAAGTAACAACTTTTTGGTCTACCCAAGATTTTGGGGGCTAACTTTTTTTTCAAATGGCAACCCCCCTTTTGTGATACCTCATTCAAAAGATAATAAAAAAAGAAAATTTTCGGCGCAAATTGCATGTCAAAATGTTGATTTTTGACAAAATGGCGGCCGGTCAAAGTTCAAAATGGCGGCAATTCGGCATCTCCGTTTTTTATCGGCGGATTGGTCTGAAACTCAGAATCCTCAGGTTCTTCGGGACGAGAAAAACGACTCTGGCATTAGTTTTCCAGAAAAGTCCTTTTCAAAACGGCGGCGGTTAAAATTGCGGCTTAGAGCGGGAAGTGGATACTTGGGCTGCTTATCGTTAGATTTGTATGAGACTTGGTATCCGGGGGTATTTCAGCACGAGAAGAACGAATCTCTCATTGGATTTTTGAAATTTCGAAAAACTTTAAAAGAGCGGCGAAAAAATCACGGGAAATCCATATTACCGGCCATAACACCGATTTTTCCGCCGCCATTTTTAAAGTATTTAGTATTTCAAAAACATAATGAAGGATTCATTTTTTACAAGCCAAAAACCACTAGTGTATCGACTTTCGTACAAATCCATCGGTAAACATCCGAGATATGGATATCCCGTAATTTTTTCGCCGCCCTTTTAAAGTTTTTGGAAATTTCAAAAATCCAATGAGAGATTCGTTCTTCTCGTGCTGAAATACCCCCGGATACCAAGTCTCATACAAATCTAACGATAAGCAGCCTAAATATCCACTTCCCGCTCTAAGCCGCAATTTTAACCGCCGCCTTTTTGAAAAGGACTGCCTTTTCTGGAAAACTAATGCCAGAGTCGTTTTTCTCGTCCCGAAGAACCTGAGGATTCTGAGTTTCAGACCAATCCGCCGATAAAAAACGGAGATGCCGAATTGCCGCCATTATGTCAAAAATCAACATTTTGACCTGCGGTTTGCGCCAAAAATTTTCTTTCTTAAAATCTTTTGAATGAGGTATCACAAAAGGAGGGTTGCCGTTTGAAAAGAAAAGTTAGCCCTCGCCCTCCTCAGGGTACTTTAGACCGAGGAACATTGCCAAAGTTTCAGCCTTCTATCTCAATTAGGGAAAAAGTTACAGGGGTGGTGGGTGACTTCTGGATAACCCAGTATATCCAAAATGTTTAGCCTCTGACCCACAGTGCGACGAAAAGTTCGTCAAAAAAATTCCCACCCATGGCCCATTGTGCCGCCATGCTCTCCTCATGCCGCGCATCCCCCGCCCAAAAATTTCAAAGCTCGCCATTTATAAACGGCTAAGCCAGTTTTGCTCAAATTCGATACCAGCGTGGTACTGAGTAAGATCTCCCTTCTGTAAAATTTCGGAGGAAAAAGCACAATAATTACCTATTCTACCCCTCTACTTTACATTGCAAAAACTTTTACTGAGAAAAATTTTTACACAAGGGAAATATAAACCGAAGAAAATCTAAAAACATGCAATAAATCGATGATACTTACATAGGTAAACAGTTACATAGTAAGATTTATCAAGGCACCGATTTCAGTGGCCCGATACAACAAAAAATGAACATCCAAAGGAACAGGGTTAATGCTAAAAAGAGCACCAATAGGTGCGTGACCCTGTTTTTGTACGTGTTCATTTTATACAGGGTGTCCCAAAAGTCCGGACTACCCTCAGGGTAGAAAGTCAAAGCCTGTGAGCCTCGATACAAGTATCTCTCGAACGAAGAAAGATATCAAAGTCCGGTTTAGACCAAAAATCGTCTAAAATCGCATAGGTACTTTGAGATGCTCAAAGTGAAAATCCCGAAATCACATTTCAAGTTGACATAATGTGTGCTTTCCTTCAGTTTTTGAGTCGAGAAAATTCCTTTTAAACAAGGATACATTAATACCAGTTTTTTGAATTGTTCTTACTTTTCTGCTTCAATCGAGTGGTCCATTACCTAAGCTATAGGGAACCATAGGGTTTGAGAGTTACGGACGATTGAAGTTTCCGCTCTACGCGCGTCGACCGATTTTCGCGCACCAAACTACGGTTCCAAAGCTGGATGTGGGTGTTAATAAGGCAGTTTAAATGTTCCAACCGTGCAAAATAA